GGGCAGTACGAATAAGACCTGACGCCTCGCTCTTTCCCCTGAGGTAGGCCTAGAGTTTCCAATTTTTAATTTTCACTTTGAATTCTAATGGTTCTCACATCTCCATTTTTCTATCTATTGTGACCTTATGCCTTATAATTATATATCTTAATCCTAAATTACACACTAAAGTAAGGCTCTGGTTTGACTGTTCTCGGGGAAATTAATTGGGCGATATCATTAACTCAAAACTGTATCCCGGGTACAAAGGACGCTAACCTTGAACAAAAGCCGTTCGTCGTATTTTCATGGCGTGGGTATATCCACTTCACTTAAAATTGTAATTAGGGATCCTCCCCTCACACATTATATTCGTTGAAAACAGTCATAAGATTCTCTGATCAATGTATAGTTCATGGGTATATGTCCCACGAGAAAACGAGGTGTACTAAGTTCACACCGATGCATACAAGATATTTCCTTTTTCCAAATCAATGTTCTTTTATATTTTCATCTGATATCTGCGGTAGCTATGTTCACTAATCGTTCACAGACGTAAATAGAATGACCTTCAAACACGATCTACACTTAGCCCTTATAGTACACTACCCCGTATCAATTGGACTTTCCCAACCATCTTATAGATACCTTGAGTTCTCCTTAATGCTATGAGTACATACACTTAATATTATATGACCGTACCTGGGTACAATTTGTAAAACAATTCATAAACACTCAGTAGGTGAGTTATCCTTTCCCAACGTTTCCCGTTTTCTAAGACTCTACACGGGCGGTGGATTTGAATGTTATGTAGCGTAATATGAATCGAAGAGTTTCTAAGGATGACAGTGATGTGCTCAGTACTTCTCTGATTACTTTTCCTTTTCTTTTATCCTCTTCACCAAAAGATCGGCTCGTTAGCCGCTTGGGTGATTTGTCACGTCTCTGTTACACACTGTTGGCAAGTACTGGGCATGCACCGGCTCCAGTGTTGGTTAAGTCTTGTCTTGAAAGAGCTCACACTTGGTGCCGTCACAACACTTTCTGGTAGATTGTTCCAAGAGTTCACAACTCTCACTCCGAAAAAGTTTGCCCTCACAGTTTTCTGGACTTGCGGCTTCTTCAATCTTGAGCTGTGACCCCTTGTGGGGCGAGCGACCGTCAGCTCCAAGTAAGGACACTCGACTGAGTAGTGCCCCTTGAGATGCTTATACACTTCTATTAGGTCGCCCCTTGCCCATCTGTAGTATAAGCTAGGCAAGTTCAGGCGCTCCAATCTCTCAGGGTAGCTCAGGTGCCGAAGGGCAGGCACCAGTCAGGTGGCCCTCCTTTGAACATTTTCAACCAACTGACAGTCCCTAGCATATCTCGGGGACCAGACGGAGTGACAGTACTCCAGATGGGGAAGCACTTCACTCTTGAAGATCGTTACAAGGGACGGACCGTCTAGATATCTGAACGACCTTCTTATAAGACCCAATAATTGATTTGCCTGATTTACCTTCTTCTCGCAATGGCCAGAGAACTTCAGCTCATTGTCAACATACATACCTAGGTCCTTCTCACATTCGGTCTCAAATAGTGCAGTTTCTTCATCCCATTGGGTCATATGATACGCTTCCTTACCATTGGTACGCCCCAGATGCATCCTCTTACACTTTGTGACATTAAATCTCGGCAGCCATTTCTTCGACCATTCTTGGAGCTCACAAAGATCCTTCTGGAGCTCTTCACAGTCCGCTTGGTTCTTGATTTCCCGAAATAACTTGGTGTCATCGGCAAACATTTGTATGGAGGAGTGTACAACTTCCTGCATGTCTTTTATGAAACAAACAAACAACAGCTGGCCCAATACACTGCCCTGTGGTACCCCGCTTGTGACAGGTACGGATGATGATTTCGTGCCATTAATCACCACACACTGTTTGCGGTCCTGTAGAGTCTTCTATTCACGCTAGGACATTTCCACAAATTACGTACCCTTCCAGTTTGATTTTCACCCTTTCGTGGGGTACACTGTCGAAAGACTTGGCAAAATCTAGATATATATTGTCGATATTACCACCCCGTTCCAGAATATGGGTCCAAATATCCAATACCTTGAGCGATTGCGTTAAGCAGGAGCGCCCCGGCATAAAATCGTGTTGGCAATCCTTTACAAGGTTGTTTCGTAGTAGATGTTCCATCGTGGCATCTTTGATAATACTCTCAAGTACTTTACATATTATGCTGGTCAGGCTCACCGGTCTATAGTTGTTCGTGGAGTGACGATCACCCTTCTTGAAGATAGGACTCACATAAGCCATTTTCAATTCACTGGGGACCTTTTGTTCATCCAGGCATTTACAAAACAGGATCTTCAAGGGCTCGGCAAGCTTGTTGCACAACTCTCTTAGCACTCTTGGATGCACCATGTCAGGGCCGGGACTCTTATGGAAATTTAACTTTGACAGTTTATTTCTAATACCCTCTTCTGTGGACACAATGTGGGTCTGTGCTGTGTCAAACCGTCTGTCCTCAAATGCAGGAAGGTTAATTAAATCCTCTCTTGTGAAAACTGAGGAAAAGAAGCTGTTCAATGCCTCAGCTTTATCCTGGTCAGAATCTGCGTAACTACCATCTTCAAGCCTCAGGTCTGATACTCCTACTTGCGTTTTTAATTTTGACTTTGCATTGCTGTAAAACGCCTTTGGTTTTGCCTTGACTCGCTTGCAACCAGCCTCTGGAACTCCTTTTCAGCCCTTCTACACTCTATCTTTGCTTGATTTCTAGCTCTTGCATACATCCTCCTGTCCTGCTCATCGTTTGACCCAACCCACGTCTTCAATTTCTTGGTTTTTTCTTAACTTTGTCGACTGCCACATGGTTCATGTGTAGGGATCCCCTCGTATTCCTATAGGCACTGGGTTTGGTCTTGGGTATATATTTCTCTATCAAATGGGTCACTTTACTAGTTATGATATTCAGCATAGTGTCTGCAATCTTGTGCCTTAATGAGTCAGGCCAGTGGATATCCCTCATCTCTTCCTTCATCCCGCTGTAATTTCCCTGGTAATATTTGCACCTTGGCCTGGCCTTATCTTGAACTAGGTATCAGTTAAATCTGAATGACAACATTATATGGTGACTGGTGCCAACTGGGGCAAGGTGTTCCAGTTTGGTCACCACACCCTCCTCGTTTGTTACGATGAGGTCTAGTGGCTTGGTTTTTGCTCCCCTCTGTAATGTGTCGGGTCTCAAACATGTTGGAACAGAAAATTATCTCTCTGAGTTTCTACAAAAAGAGTAGCAGGGTTATTCAAGTCATTTGGGGTGAACACGTTTCTCCAGTCGATGTCGCCATAGTTAAAGTTCCCCATGATAAGGAGGTGGCTGGGTTTGAGCATCGCTGCATTGTCTATTAAGGCTCTTAAGTTCCTTTGATTTAGTGGGCCACAGTTTGGGGATCTGTAGATACAACAGACAATAAGTAAGTCCCCTCCCTTTAGTTTAATTTTACACCACTTGGACTCTTCAAAAACATCCTCTCCCTGTACCCTCACCTGGCTGGCTCTAAGGTCTTGTCTAGCATAGATAACCGCACCCCTCTTACAAGTTTCTTGAGAAAGGTTTGTAAATGAGTCATATCCAGCAATACTGAACTCACATTCCTCTGGGTCGATTCTCCTGTTCTTGTACAACAGTTCTACAATAACAATATCTGGTTGGTGTACCTTCAGTAGTGTTTCAAACTCTTCTCTCTTATCAAGGAATGTGCCAGTATTAATGTACATGACATTCAAGCCAGAATTAGTCCTTGGTAATGTCTCTGCTCTTAGTAGTAACCCCCCCCCCCACATTCTCAGAAGCTGCAGCATTTGCTAGGTACACTGTATTTTGCAGGGTGTGGTTAGAAATGTCATTGTTTACAAGGCACTCGCCTCTTCCTGGCTGATGGGCGGAGCTGGTGCCACCTCCCGGGTGGGGGGTATAGCGGGCGGAGGGTGCGCTGCTGTCCCCTGGCCCTGTGTCGGCTTAGGTGATGGACATCATAATATCTGAGACTGCAGGTGTATCCCATAATCCCTGCAAATTGTCATTCCTTCCACTGGAGGAGGAATGATATGCGAGTCAGTTACTGGACCTAAACTTTGAGCTCATCCTTAAAATGAGATTACTGTGCATCTTCAAAAGTAGTTGAAAAAAATTAACTTTGCATATTCCCTAATGGCACACATCCTCCAGTGCTGTTGTCTTGTACATATAATGACTGACAAAAGTACGAGACAAGAATGAGCGCTCCACATAAGGTAGTCTGTAGTGTAATTACCTTATAGTTATTTTGTGCTCAGTCCTATGGATTAATAACTTACTATTCTGAAGAAAAAACCCTCAAAACTCATTTTAACACAGTGAATTATTTATAAGAACTTAAAGCAAACTGTGACTGCTCCATGACCCATTATAGGTGACAGCAGCCTCCCTCAGTTCACATACAACCTGTGCCAAAAGTGGATCATTAGCCAAAACATGAACAAATTCTACAGCATGAAAATAATAAAGGCAGAATACTAATACAGTACAATACTGTACTAACACTGGAGACTGCAGCACCAGCCAGATACACTGCAGAACAGTACTGCTTTAGTGCTGAGGAAATGGCAGCAGAGCAAACATTTATATTGGAGGAGGAACTGATGCAGGAAAACACTGATTAGGATAAGAAGGCAGCAGGGTTGAAGGAATTTTGTGTCTTAGTCCCAAATATGGTCAGGTCCAGCAACTGACTGGCAAGAAGTGCATATTTAGTGTGACTCCATGAATTGTTGCCATTTCCCCGAAGGAAACTATTGCTTCTAAAGATTCCCTCAGCTACTTGGTTGTGAAGGGAAGACATAACGAATTCATGAATTCGTCCCAGTTGTCCAGGTTTCAGGTGTCCTGGATCTAGACTTGAAGATTTAGTCTTTGTAGTTCATAACTTATCTTAATGAAGGATGACTAGCAATATATGATATAATGACTGTTAACAATACAGTATCTAGAAAATCATATTTTATTTTTTATATGCAATACAGTAGTTCATATTTTGTTTAACATCTCTGCTTGAAAGTGTCACTTTCAGCAATTCCATCTACATATTTTCTTTTTATACTGTACAGGTATTTACTACCCGGTATATCTTTATTTACCACTGCTGCATTCCCCTATTGAGAAATTTTTATTTTCAATCTACATTATTTGCTTTATTTATAAGTCTTTCATTTTCTTTTAAGGCATGTGCAGCTATTATTCTAGTGATGTTTGCATTGACGTTGGGGAACTCTTCAACTTTCCTTGCTGCATACTGAAAAAAGGAGAAAAATTTTTGCTTAAATATTAAGAAAATATGTCCTTGATGCCACTTCCCACAATATGTGGGGTCCCACAAACAGAAGAACACTGACATGTCTGGTGCTGCACTGTAAACAACATACTAGTATCCTAACAGTTTGGGACCTGGAGATGTGCAGATAATAAAAATATTTGATGATGGAATGGTCCCCAGGTACAGTGCACAAAAACAAATTTAATGAAAATTTATCAAAATAAGTATTTTATTGTTTTAGCAACATACAGTACAACCCATTTAATATGATGCAATAATACGGTATCCTCTGTGTTCTTCATATAGCTACCTGTATTATATATTAAGAATTAGAGTGCACTACTGGTGGGGTGAAGTACAGTACTGAACAGTGAAACCTTGTTAATTTGGATTAATGGGAGAAAAGGTGATCTGGATTAGCAAAATATCTGGATTATTGCAAATTTTAAAGCACAAAGCATCTGACACGGAGCACCATTGCTATGGAGGCTTATCTGCAGTCGGACAGACAAAGAGTGGTATTTATTTATGCAGATACTACTGTACACATATTGTACAGTACATCATATAGTACACAAACAGAATATGCCACTGTATACAGTACACTATATAGTACTGTACTCACCAGTAGATGCTGTCATCTTGAGCTTGTGATGCAGGCAGGCCAAATGGTGATGTGATGATACAGGATGACTTACCGTTGTTCTGTACCATCTACAGTAGCATATGTTGCTGTCACTCTCGTCTCCCTCCATGAAGAAGTGATTGTACATGCACTATATACTGTACATACACTCTCTACACACTAGCATACACTGTCCACTCTGCTATGTGCAGTACCCTATGTATGGTAGTTTCACACTTATTGAATGTACAGTGCAGTATATGCAACTGTAATCACTTTTTTTTTTCTTAACACTGCTTTAATGGTATTCTTGGCTGATTTTTTCCTGGCACAATATTGCACAACACAGATTGTATGTGAAGACAACAGTGAGCATGCAAACAAGCTTGTACAATGGCATCAGACAATGAACTAAGAGTCTCATGATGCTAAAGTTTGTGTAGATAGGCTGGGAGATACATCAGCCAATCATAGGCATCTCATGCAGTCACATGACAGTAGTAGCCAATATATTGTAGTGCACGAGCACCCTGAGACTACCCATCCACAGGTTCGGCACACGTTGGTCGCAATCTCCGGAAAATTCATTTGTATGCCCAGAACGGAAAGATTTGGGGGAGATTTCTCTGAATGCTAAAATTTTATTTTCCTGGCAGTAGAAAGTTTTAGAGATTGAAGATTCTGGTTAAAGGGGAGATTACATGCACAGTACTATCGTGTCAAATGGCTTTGCCCATGTATAAATAGGAGTTAACTTCCAGGGAGGGAAAATGTTGATCACCTTGACTGCATGGCAGCTAAAAGTTCATATTCTATAAATAAAAAGGGGTTTCAAAATATGACTGTTATTCATTTAAGCAAATATTTGTATTTGTTTAAAGAAGAAAAAATATAAGCGTCAAAATGTGACTTTCCTTAAATTTTTTTTTTTTTTATCTGGTATACTGTATGTATGTTGAGGGCCACCTGTACTGTATTCATATCTGATTATACTCCCTACTGTAGGCTAAGCTAACCCATCTCACCAAGGAGTTATCATCCTTATGATTGTGGGAACTTTTTTTTTTTTTACTTAATTACAGACTTAGAGTACAGTACTTGACATTTTGGTAGTAAGTCGAAAATGCTTAAATAATACACAGAAAATCTAAAATGGGTGTCTCTTTTTCTTCTCAGCACCACAAAACTCTCACTTTTAAGCTTGCCAGCCATTTTAAAGTGAATTACAAACGAAAATTTTGTCAGTACACAGCACAATCACTGACGTTGGGACTCAAAAATGAGTAATTTGAAAAAATTTTGGTACGACTGAGGCAGGTCGTAAGGGTGCGGATGGTCGTAAGTTGAGTAGGTTGTAAGTCGGGGAGGAGCTGTAATATGAATACAGTATTTCAACTATGTCCACCTACCTCAATCTTCTGGACCAGTTGAACTTCATAGGGACGGTGAACCATATTTGTCACTAGACCCGTTAATGGGCTACCAACTCGTCCTGTTCGTCCGCATCGATGGATGTAATCAGCAATGAATTTGGGAAACTCATAATTGATCACATGGCCAGCCTAGTGGTGGGTAAAAATCAACAATGATCATGAAGGATTAGAAGACTAATAATTAATCATATTACTGTACAGTAGTGGTGATTTGATGTGTGAGCAGCATAAAAATAAAAAACACATTAACATGCTCAAAAACAGTAAAGGATCTTCCATATTAATTTTTTTTCTTCTGGGATTAGCCCACCAGGGCACAGGTCAATGACCCAAATCAGGGCTTGGGGGCAAAAATATAATTATAATAATAATAATAATAATGATAATAATAATAATAATAATAATAATAATAATAATAATAATAATAATAATAATAATAATAATTCTAACAAATATTAAATAAAAATATAATATAATAATAATAAAGGACCATAAATAAATACAAAGATTAAAAAAAAAATCAATCATGCGAAACGATTTATAAGGTACAGTTGTTATGTTCCTGGAAAACACTGCAAAGGGGATCAGTGTAAAACAAAATACCTTAGACCTTTAGGAAACAGAAGGGTTAGGTTCCAGGATCTAGTTGATTCCCTAAGACTGACTACAGGTGAGGTTACTCTTATCATCATTTGGCCACTGTAGACTAATGTCCCCTTCTCTCCATTCTCTTAAAGACACTTTACTTTGGGTTTTCATTGCATTATAGAGCAATTAACCTTTTCACTGATATGAAACTTGTCAATCTACAGATAAGAACATAAGTGTCATAATGTTTAACCATTATTTTAACCCTTTCATTACAACATATATTCCTCATACACTTGGGACCAGAGGCCTACATATGTACAGTACAAGATACAATCTTATGTTTTCTGTCCCATTTCAAATATCTTAAAGTAACCTTGACTCATATATGAAGGCATATGTCACCAACAGTAATAATTTCACCCTCAGGAATGTCACAGCAGCTAAGTAATCACAAAAACACCATGGTGGAAGGACTTTTATTGGAGCATGCACCTGGCAGCAACAAAAATGATTCCCACATGTATGGTACACACAAACGTAAATACCGGTATATGTACAGTATAAATATAATATGTGCTAACATGGGAGGAAACAGATGCAATTTTGATGGAAAGTAAAACTTTGCAAAAAATATACCACTTAAACTGAGGGTTTACAGTAATAACAAATCTTGGGCTTACCTTCACAGTGTCTAACCCACGTGATGTTAAATCAGTGCAGGAAAGGGCTAACACTTCACCAGACTGGAAGGTATTAAATCGGCCTTCTCTAACTACAGCTGGCATTTCACCAGTAAGATTGACACAAGATACACCATTGTCATTGAGAAATATAGATACCCAGTCACATGTTTTGCTGAAGTTGCTGTTTTAAAGAGAAAAACAAAGGTTTGTCAGTTTTACATGAGACCAAGTTTATAAAGGCAAGTTGGTTTACAGGGAAGATGAAGCAAATCAAGGTTGATGGTTTGACAGACTGACATTATTTCACATAAATAAGTAATATGGGTATTTAAAAAATAGTCACTGCAGTCTTCCCCAACCCCGTGACCCAAACCACCTACTAGTGTGACCAGCGAACTTCTGTGACCGCGTGCTGTTCTCATCACTGTGACCCACTTAACACGTTATATGCGATTGGCAGCACTACAGACTCACTGCCAGTGTGATTCAAAATGATGTTGTCATTTCAGTCTGGCTGGTGTCACCGAAGAAAAATGCGAAATTTACAGCAGCGAAGAGGAAATGGAGTGCAGCTTACATCAAGTAAGGATTTCATCTGACTGACAAGGAGAAAGAGCAGGAGCATCCAATAGCATCGTGTCTGCTATGCCCCCAAATAAAGTCAAACCAATGCCTGGTGCCAAGCAAGCTTTGCCATCACCTGGAGAGAAGTCATCCTAATCTTCAGAATAAGCCACTGGCTTATTTTGAAAACTTGTTCACAAAGAGGTAGTAGGCAGCTACCAAACAGGGAGGTACTGTTGCCTGGGAAGATATTGGAAGCATAATGTGTTGTCTACTGGTAGACCCTGCTGCCATATGGCATCAAGAAAAATTGTGACCAAATCCCAGGTTGCTGATCTGTCTTTGTGCCTCATTTACACACATTTGTAGGGTCTCAATTGTTTCTCTTACTATTGACAAAACAACATACATATATTGTTTCTCACTCATAATCTTTTTTATATTTTTGTATTTCTTTATTATTATTATTATTATTATTATTATTATTATTATTATTATTATTATTTTTATTATTATTATTATTATTATTATTATTGCAGTGCTGTTATTTTTTTTCATTATTATTTTATTTTTATTTTTGTATTTTTTATTATAAATTTTACTTATCTGAATTATTATTATTATTATTATTATTTGTTATTATTATTATTACCCCCCCAGGCCCCGATGTGGGTCAGTGACCTGTGCCCGGGTGGGCTACCCCACTCTCCCCCCCCCAAAAAAGAAGGGTCAGTCTTCGCGAAGGTTTGAAGAGCACTACAAGGCGACATCTGATACCAATCTCGTCACTGCATCTTTGAAAGTGAAGAAATCATCGTACCAGCGATGAACATCCTTTCGGAAGAAGTGCTTAAAAAAAGTGCTGCTATGAAGCTGAATGAGGTCCCCCTTTCAGCCACAATTGAATAAAGGAAGCTGATGATTGCTGAGGACCTGCTTGTACAGCTAGCAGAAAAGGTTAAGAAAAGTCCCTGCTATGGGTTGCAATTTGACGAGTCCACGGATCTTACAACAGGGTTCATTTGATGTGCTTCATTCATTATGCTGACTGTGAGCAATTTTAATTGACAGAAGAGTTCTTTTTCTGTTGAGAAGTTGGTGTGGAAACTAATGGCGAAGCAATTGCAAGGATATTTTTGGACTTCCTCGCCTGCAACAGGATTGCAATGGGAAAGTGTTTGCACATTACAACCAGGGCTGGATTCAGGAGTGGGCAAAGTGGGCAGCTGCCCAGGGGCCTCCACTTACAATATTTTATTTATTTGTTTATTTTTTTGGATTATTTTTATTTTCATTCTTTAAAATTCATGTTTATCTATTCCATCACGTAAAACTATGTTCAGCAATAATAATATATTCTTTTCTGTGAAGTCTCTTGAAAATTTTTGACATGTGCGGTAGTAGCTATGTCAGGGCTGGTCGACTTGAAACCACATGAATGACTCCAGTCATGTCTCACTTTTGTGTGTGTGTGCGTATGTTGGGAATTTGTACACTATCAACAAATATACAGTTAATTAAATATTTCTCAATGTTCTAATTTCCTCAATATAACTGCATATGGCTTCAAAATTCTCCAAAGAAGTGTTCAAATTTCAAAATTTTCCCGGGGGGCTTACAGCGCTGCCTGGAACTCCCAGATGTTTAGGCTCGCTTCACTCGCCACCCCACCCTCTTGGGTAGTTATAATGAGGGGGGCCTCCACAAAGAGGCTGCCCATGGGCTTCCACAGGTCTAAATCCGGCACTGATTACAACCGATGGTCCAGTAGCTATGGTTGGGATAAGACATGGTGCAGTAGCAAGATTGAAAGATCACGCACCAAACTGTCAAAGTTCTCACTGCGTTCTGCATCATAAGAATTTGGCATCAAAACATCCACCAAGCGAGTCCGATTTGGAAGTTGTGATGCAAAAGTGCATCACTATCATCAACAATATCAATGGCAAAGCAAAGAAATCTCGCACTTTCCAAGAATTCTGTGATGGGATGGGGGAGACGGAGATCCTGCTGTTTCACAGTGAAGTGCGACGGCTATCAAGAGGAGTTGCATTGAAGAGACTCTTTCAACTGAGGAATGCAGTTCATGGCTTCCTGCAAGAATGTAGCTCACCACATGCATACAATTTCATGCAAGAAGAGTGGATTGCTAAACTTTCCTGCCTGTGTGATATCTTTTTCAAGCTCAATGCATGGAACCTCTCCCTTCAAGGGCCAGGCCAAGATGTGTTCAATTCCAGTACCAAAATTGAGACATTCAAATTGAAAATTTCTGAGTGGAAGAAACGAGTTGAAAGAAGGGAGTTTTCAGACTTCGATGAACTTGGACAAGTGATTGCAGAGTCCAAGGATAAAGCCATTGACGACAAAGTGACGACGGTCGTTTCCCAACATTTCACTGTTCTCCAGCAGAATTTTGATGGTTATTTTCCATCCCTGAACAAGGAAAAAAGGGAAGAAGAGTTGGATAAGGAACCTGTTCATTACCTCTAATGTGAAAGACAGCAATCTGCCCACTCAAGAACAAGAGACATTAATCAAACTTCATTGTGACTCAGAAATGAAGGACCATTTCAACTGCCACAACCGTTCCGACTTTTGGGTAGCAGTGAGCCAGAAGAAAACATAAGAGGCGATTGCTGGTAAAGCAGTCCAAGTTCTGGCGGCATTCCACAGCACATACTCTTCCGAGAGAGGGTTCTCAGATCTCCTCACCATCAAGAGCAAGAAGACACAGAGGCTGGGAGAGATGATGTTGTCTGTGTGCCTGAGAATGGTGGCGACATGAAATATTGTCTCATGATTCAACTTGCTTGCTGTAAGTGTTCAGTAACAAAAAAGGACACTGAACTTATCACTTGACATACAGTATAGTATGTGATGAGGCCTGACTGTACGAGTGTATGTGTTAATTATTTTGTACTACCGTACGTAGTGTGACTAATTATTACTGTAATACAGTATATTTGTACAGTATACCCATACAGAAGTTACTAGACCTTTGATTTTTATAAAGTTGTGTCATTTCTCAGATGACAATCTTGAAATGTGACCGAATGATCTTAGTCCATTGGGAACTGTGACCCAGTGTAGAAAAGGTTGGGGAACACTGCGGTACAGAATACCCATGTTCCAAGATTGATGCCAAAAGCATATGGCCACTTGACTGATTTCTCCAACATATATGTATTTAATAAAACCTTTGAGTTATTGCTCATCTATATCATGAAGGCCTTATATCATTAAAAAAAATTATATTAAAAGTTTAGTTAATAACAGAAAACAAAATTAAACTTATTTATGCATAAATACGAATATTATAAAAAGTTAAATAATGTACTGTATTCCTCTCTCTGTATATCTTCATAGCTACTTTTCCTCTATAAAATTAAAAAGGCTATTTCTTTAAAATATAAATCTTACCTAAATATCACAATTGGTATTTTTCTTTTTGCATCTTTCTTTACCAGTTCCAGCAGTTTCTCTGTCTTTGTTCTGTGGTTAACACGTACGAATCGCTGAGGTACATGTGGCATGATGCGATTAAGATACGGTGTTGAAATTTTCACCACAGACTCAACCTGAAACGGAGAGGATCATTCAAAGACATGTCCCATCATACTATATGAAGAGAAATGGATTTTCTATAAACAGATAACAGAAGCATTTATTTCAAATTACTGGTACAGTAGAACGTCGATATAACATGAGATACGTTCCAAGAGAGGTCGCTTTAAACCGAATTCGCACTAAATCGAAGTGTTGTTTCAATGGTACTTGAGAGAAACACAAACTACTAAAAAGACTGAGAGTCTACCCAGATGCACCTAAGCCCATCTCCTAGAATAAACAAAACATTGTTTTTTGTAGAATTATGTTAAAACAAACACTCATAAATCAACACAGCTAAAATTATGGGATGTGAAATGGTCTGTTTACTAGCGATCAGCTGATGGGAAGATAGGGGGGGGGGTGACAGTGACACGTTTGACAGTTGGCGCTGAAGGTTTAGTGAAGTATTTATTTGTTTACTTATGTCCTTTAGATTGGGGTTTTGTTTTTTCTTTATAAAATGTCACAAGTGACCGGGGAGAATATAATTTACATTGCTGGAATTCTTATAAGATAGTGATTAATTTGAATATCTAATATACTATAGGACTATGTGTGTGTCTGTTTGTCTGTTTGTGTGTGTGTTCTGGGTAGCCGAAACGGCACAATCATTTTTCATCAAACTTGGTGGAAAAATCGCAAAAAATTCGTAGAGTGGAACAAACCTGGTCCCATGTCGATGGATTCTTTAGGAAGGCATTAGTTAACAATTTTATTTACGATGGAAAACGATGCAAGTCTACGGACTTGGCGCACCCTCATTCGCTGTACGCTGTCATGAGCGTTCAAACTCTCACAAGGGCACGAACGTGCCCACGATCACTTGTAATCATGCTATAGTTTGTACCAGACAAAAATTTTAGAAATCATTTAGTACAATATTTTGAGTACATGTACAGTACAGCTTTGCCCTTAGGACAGTGTAGCGTGCCCAGAGAAACATTTGACGTGAATTTTAAAATATGATGCGCCAGATTGACTCGCGCAAAATAAGAAAGATTCGCTTTAAATTAAAACATTGTCCTTAATTGTGGGTGTTGCTTTAAATCAATACAGTGGTCCCTCGGTTAATGAACACAATTAGTTCTAGAAGGTCGTTCGTTAACCGAAAATTTCGTTAACCGAAACCATTGTTTCAATGGGATTTTGGGTAATTTGTTCCAGCTCACCGAAAATTACATACAAAGTAAAAAAAAAAATGCAGTAAAGTACACTTACTTTGAGGTGTGTATGTAGAAGGCTCCTGGTTGATGATGATGATGATAGGAATTAGAAGTGGGGGTGGAGGAGAAGGGAAAAGAGAAGGAAGTGGGGGTGGAAGAGAAATCACCCCATGCTTCATGCCGTCATTCCACCCATAAAATTTTAAGTTCACTAGGTGTAATTCAAGATTATTTTCTTTAAATCAACACTGCACTGCGCTATATATTGTCAATATGTTAAATAAATTTCAGAATGAGCAATAATTGTACTATAAAAACGTAAAAATACTCTTGTGTTCAAGAGACCCACAAGCAAGAAATTTCCTCCACTGAACAGATATACAAACTGAGGCCTTGGTGGGTGAGTGAAGTGGCTGATGGGCACACCAAAAACTAGTTCCCTGTACTGCAATTATGTTAAATAAGTGTTAAAATGACTCAAAATTTTAATATAAAACTTGGAAAATTATTGAATAGTACAACCTTCTTGATATTTACTCCAATTTTCACGAATGTAAGCCCTAGAATCGATTTCTGTATTGGAGGACTAATCTTCCAGCTGGTGAGCAAGCCAAAGCATGTCGAAACATTTTTGTAAGAATTTTGTTAACCGAAATGAAGATTCTAATGGAAGGTAATTCGTTAACCGAAATTTTGTTAACCGAGGCGTTCGTTAACTGAGGGACCACTGTAATCTTAAATTGAATTGCTTTAAATCGGCGTGCTACTGTAATTAAAAGAGGGGTTACATTAGGGCTGTACAGTATATCAATAACTTTTATTCTAAGGAATAGTAATTTTACCCATTTAGTAAATTTTTCCTTAAACAACTACAGTACAGTATTTGATTCCACAGCTCAATGTTAGAACATTTGCCTCACAAATTAAAGGTTCTGTGTTTGACTCTTAACTGGAGTGGAGGAATTGATTTCCTTCTTGTACACTATTTTTTACACACTAGAATATCATGAGTAAACCACTGGGTGTGCTTACTGACGGTGGGACAACCCTAAGAAAAATAGTAAGAGCATAAGCATGAGTTATATGAACATAGATTTTCAATAAATATAGATACCGGTAGTAGAGTTACAAACAAGGTTGTGTGTATCATCAATTTGATCTTGGTTTGGCTGTTACAATTATAGTATACATGTCCAAATATATTTTTAACCTAAAAATCTAACTTATCATAGGTTTAACAAACTTTAAAAGTTTAAAACAGCTGACTTTTGTTCAAGCATGGATGCCAACCTGAGGTTAATGCAAGTCTTTGCTAGGATACACTTCCCTGGTGGTTAAAGTTAAAGGACAGGCAACCCCCGAGATACAATATTCCGAGATGCGATATTTCACTTTAACGATGATTATAAATTAGCGCCATCGTGCTACATACAATCAAAATAACTCGCTTTAACTATAACCACTGGTCGGATTTTTTTCTCGAGTACAAACTATGGGTTGTTTATACAGGTTGACAATCCCTTATCCGAAATCCTTGGGACCAGAGGCATTTCGGATTTCGGAATTTTTCGGTTTTCAGAATGGTTTTTTTTTTTTTTTGCATAAGCCCATCCGGGCACAAGTCACTGACCCACATTGGGGCCTTGGGGGGCGAAAATATAATAATAATAATAATAATAATAATAATAATAATAATAATAATAATAATTATTATTATTATAATAATAATAATAATAATAATAATGATAATAATAATAATACAGGTAATAATAATAATTCATAGGTCTAGGTCGTGTTACTCACTTTTTATCTTTTTTTCATTCTTGTATTTCTTTATTATTATTATTATTATTATTATTATTATTATTTTTTTTTTATTAATACAGTATTATTGTTATTATTATTTTATTTTGGTGTATTTTTTAATTAAAATTTTTATTTACTATGAATAATTACAGGTATTATTATTATAATTATTATTATTACTGTATTATAATTAGTATTACTATTACATTTTCGCCCCCAGGCCCGATGGGCCAGTGATCTATGCCTGGGTGGGCTAATCCCTGTAAAAAAAAAAAAAAAAAAAAAATTGCCACAAAAACTTTCGGTTTTCGGAATTTCGGATGAATGGTTGTCAACCTGAACTCAGATTAATTGCTATCTTGCAAGGATTCCAGCAATGCAAGTTATATTTTTCTACATCAAGTCAGTGACATTTTATAAGGATACAGTATTTAACCCTATGCACCGTGCATCTTTCCTTCACTTGTCAGCCTACCCACACACTGCCACATAGCCAACCTGCGCACTACAGCCGTGTCTGGTTCTCTGTTGATTGTAAACCCGCCATCACATGGCTCCACAATTATTGGCCAGCATTGTACATTGTACTTATATCATCAGTGTTATTTGTTTTCTTACATAGTGAGAGGACAGCACTAACATTTAGATTGAACTGTGTTATGGTGACTGTGAAGTGATATTTTCTGTGTTTTTGTGACTGTAAGTTCAGTCAACTCCGTTATTTTGAGAACGTGAGCAGTGTTGGCCGCTATCATCGTTTTTATCATCATTCGCTCTACCTTTGTGACAAGTGCTTTTATTCTATTTTTGTGACTGAAGTGAGCAGTGTAACTTTGAAAATGTCTGGGAAGGCCGAGGCATCCAAGACAACCGGGTCTCTGAGGTGAAGCTTGGCATTGTTAAGCAGCATGAGATTCCCCAGAGGCATCCCCACTCCACCTACAAGAGTCCCCTTAGCCTTGAAGGTGACAAGTGATGATGACCAGGCTTAGCCAATATGATGTGGTGAGTGTTGTTTACGTGTTTTGGTTGCTGATACATGTGTGTTTGGGGACTGGCTGGGAATGTATCCCATTGAACCCCATGTTATAATGCTCCGTATCTACAATATTTCACCTAGCGATGGATTATTCAGGAACGTAACCCCATCGTATCTCGGGAGTGACCTGTATTTAATTAAAAAAAAAATAAAATACTGTGATGGAAGGGGATTTACTTGCTCCTATCTTGAGGGGATGACCAAACTCCTTTCCTAAGAATACAACCATATATCTAAGTATGGTTTTATATACAGTACAGGCAGCCTCTGGGTTACGAACGTCCAACTTACAAACTTCCGCCGATACAAACAGGGTTAAACTTTAAATTTTCAGTATTTTACATACCTGATAACGTATTCTTTACTTTCATTTACTGTATTTTATCATTCTATTTCTTCTTTTCTCTTAAATTAAGTGATTTTATACGTACATAAGGACTTGGGCTATGATATACAGTAATAGGATTTTAAACATGGTTCTGTAAGTATGGTACATTTTTTTACTTAAAAACATCCCCAGGAATGGAACTCATTCGTAACCCAGGGAGTGCCTGTATGCAGTATTTGTAGAAGTACAGTGTACAGTACAGGGGCCCCCCCAAATTTGCGGGGGTTAGGTTCTCAAAATGGCCGCGAATCGCCAAATACGCGAATAACATTTACTGACCGGTGTGTGTTTTTGTGGGGGTGGGGGGGGTTGTTACATTTTTACTTGTGTACAAAGAAATGTATATTCCCTTTATGTGTTTGCCCTTAGGCCAATTATTTCTTTTACTTGTACAGGTATTGTGTGTAGGTGTAGACACACACACAAACACAGACACACAAATAAATAATAATTGGAAAATCCTCTCACAAATAATCAGAAACAAATTTATTAAAAATGTGAGGGTAGACTGTCACATATTTAATAAATTTGTTTATGATTATTTGTGAGAGGATTTTCCAATTATTATTTATTTGTGTGTGTGTGTGTGTCTATACACACACAAACACACACACATGTACACTACAGGTAAAGGAAATTACTGTCTCTAGAACGAATGGCTCCCTATCCCAGCTGCAAAAATGAAGGCAACTTTAAAACTACCCACAGACATTCTTGGGTACAACCAGGGTGTCATCCGCGAAATAAAAATTCACAAACTTGGGGGCCCCTGTACTGGATATCTGCAACATAACTCAAAGAAAGGAAGGAGAAACCTCCAACTTCCACACTTGGCTTGTATTTTGTTTTGAACAACAGAACTCAGAGCTGTTAAGTTCGTAGGGGTCAAAAGTCAAGATCACAGCACTGAAAAGGGTCTTGACACGTCCCTTGAGTACAGTCTAGGCTTCATACATTGTCAACACATTGTGTAAATAACATCTTTATTTCAAATTAATATTGATCTTCAATTAACTCACATCCACAAAAGGATCCAGAATAGTGTCTAGGCTCCGTGGTAATGTTGCTGCCACCATTGTTAGCTGTACACCAGACATAAGTAAAGGCTGCTGGTCCTCTTCACTCCTTGATCCTTGGACCTTAGGAAGAAAATTGGTCATTAGCAAAGGGACAACAGGTACTGTAACATACTGGAAACTAGGGTTAGGAATTACACTTAAAATTGAAAAATACTTAACAGTAATGATGTCTGTTTGACACTTGATTGAAACCTTTTATTGTTTAGCTATTGATGGGTTCACCTTCATCACCATCACCATTTTACAGCCATTTTTGATGCAATAGTCACCAAGATTACCCATGATTATCTGATGGCAGCTCTTATGCTGCACTGTCTCTTGCAGCCTCTCACCAGGTTTTTGTCTCTCAGGTAATTTCTCACAACCTCTCCCCATGTCATTCTTTGCCTACACATAGGTCTCCCTTTCTCCACATTTACTCATGCATTCCTTTACTCTATTATTCTCCTCCATTCTCTCCACATGCCCAAACCATCTTGGCCTACCATGATACACAACTTCACCAATACAGTACTATCAATATTCAGTTATCCTCTTAGCTCTAAACAGGGTTTCCTGTCTATCAATGTCTCATTACATATTCATCTCACCATTCTCATTTCAACTTGCTCAAACCCATGTATGCCATTTAACTGGACATATTTCAGTGCCATACATGTTTCTCATGCCAGCTACATACATCTTTCATTTTGAGGAAAGAGAAGGTCCTTTTGCCAATAATAAAGAAAGAGTTTAAAAGCGGAAAATGTGGGGAATAACAGTACAGTATTTTATATACAGTACTAACTGGAAACTTGGAGATATAGCGTGTCACTTGATCATTGAAGGAGTCGTCCAGTAGTGAATCTGCTTCATCAAGGGTGATGTGTTTCACAAGAGACATATCATATACACCTGAAAAGTAAATATTTATAAGCAAATAATTCACTTCTTGGAAAAAAATATCCCCAATAGCTATTACCATCTGACTATAATATAAGAATACAATGACAATTTAACATAGATCTGATTTTCCACATTAGAGTACTATACTGTACAGGTATTGTACACACACTCAAGTATCTGTGCACATTAGGTCCAATGATTTCCTAAATAATCAATAGACCTATGCAGCAATGTAACCACCAACATGAACTATGCTACACACTGTTTGCAAGATTAATCTATTTTCTTCTGAATGTACATATCATAACAATACTTATGATGGATAAAACAGGAAATATCACTAAGTAAACACTATACAGTATGGAATTTTGCAATATCCATCATCTGTGGTGTCAGATTGTTTCACGCAAAATGTTCACATATACTTTTTTATTGCATGTCCATATAACATCATCAGAGATTAACTTACCAACAGTAGTGAGTTTTGATAAAGCACCAATTGTTGCCACAAGCAGGTGTTCCTGGCGCATTCTTGGGTAAAGCATCTTTCTCTTAGTCCTTCCACCTTTGAGTATCCCGACATTAATTCCAAAACTCTCGCCTAATCTTGATGCAACATCCTAAATTGAAGATTATTTTTTAGTACATCCTGTATATCTTAAAAGAAAAATACCTTATTTTTATGTATAGACTGAAATAGGATTTTTTTTGTATTCTAGCTTTAGTGGCAAAATAATCTTTAAATAATTAGTCAAAGAAAACAAATACCATAGTAGTTTAAAAATAGTGGGATGCATTTCACTCACTACTACTTTGCTGTCATTCGGAATCTAGTATGATGATCATCCAGCTATAATAAAATTAAATAAGTTATTAAGGATGTTAACTTCGCTGGTGAGCTCTGAGGTGACTAAAGAGGCTGATACGGGACCGGCAGGGTCGTCCACAGATATTGCACATGTGGTGGCCTACATCTAGTGCGGGAGGGACGGCGGCAGCGTCTTTCCGGTGTTAACACTTGTCTGCCTAGGTTTGCAGTGTGGTGCTCCTCCAAGCGTTACGGTGTGGAGTAATCGTCTCCCAGGTGAGGGGGTCGATTTGGCACTTTTACAGGTTTGTCTTAAGATTATCCTTATACCTTTTCAGTTGCCCGCCAGCGTTATGTTTACTATTCGTTAGGTGACTGTAAAGTAGCTGCTTTGGAAGTCTATTGTCGTTGATGCGGATCACATGGCCAGTCTAACGTAGTTGTTCATGGATAATGGTAGCCTCAATGTTCCTACAGTTGGTGTCAGCGAGAATACTGGCATTTGTTCTCCTGTCTTCCCAGCAGACTCGGAGGATGGGAAGTAAACTACGTTGGTGAAAGTTTTCAAGTGCCTTGAGGTGCCCCCTGTATGTGACCCAGGTCTCGCTGCCACATAGCAGGGTGGGGAGAACCATTGCTCAATACACCTGGAACTTGTAGATAATTTCAGCTCCCTACAGCAGAAGACATGGGTAAGGAGTCTGCCAAAGGCTTGAGATGCACATCTGATCTGATGTTGAATCTCTTCATTGATGTCCGCGGTGGTGAACAGGTGGGAGTCGAGATAGTGAAAATGGGTAACATTAAAGTGGGTAGTACCATTCAGCTGGATGGATGGTGGAGGTGTGGCTGGACCAGGGGCAGGCTGAAAGAGAATCTGAGTCTTACATACCTTCACCTCAGGGCCAAAGTGTGCATACACATCTGCATAGGTGTTCAGGATCTCCTGTAGGTCGTGTTCAGTGTGAGGGACAAGGGTGAGGTCGTCTGCATACTGAAGTTCAGTAATGGAAGCTGCTGACACCTTTGTTCCTGCCTGGAGTCATTTTATGTTGAAAAGACCCTTCATCTGGTACTGGATGTCCACCCTGCTGGCAAAATTGGCAATGGCACGAGTAATGAAGGCAGCAAAGAAAATGGAAAAGAGGGTCAGTTAAAGCAGCACGTTTATCATCAACGAGTACATTGATTTCTAGGTAATTTTCATGAAAGCAGTCCTGATATATTCTTTTGATCTGGCAGAGTCTCTCTGCAAGGTTTTGTTATGACAGTGTCGAGAATACCTCATTCGGCACTGGGATTTGGGTTGTTTGTTGTCAAGTTGTTTACCAGCCCATGTTCGAGCTGCTCTCTGAAAGTATGTGCTACCGCTGGATCCTCCAGACGCTTCGTGTTAAAACCTCTTCTGGAGGCTTGTTGCTTTCGTCAGTTTGGGGCAACATGGACCGAGAGCTTGGCTCTGACGAGCCGATGATCAATGTCACAGTGGTCTGAGCTACACATGGCTCGGATGATGAGGAAATCCCGGCGATCTCTTTCTCTGTCAATGATGTAGTCAGTGAGATGCCAGTGTTTGGATCTTGGGTGTTGCCACGAATCCTTGAATTTGTCGGCCTGGCTAAACAATAAAA